TGCCAAAGGAGGAGCTGATGAAGACTTTAGACAGCTGTAAATTAGGGGCCCCACACTTAAGCAGTATTGATCAACAGGGTAATTGTACACTATTCAAACCTGTGGAAGTTGCACATAACGTACTGGTACATGCATCAGTATGGGAGGAATGCTGTATAATAACTGTGTATAGATTTATTCCATTCTGTTCTGATGTTGCTTGAGTTTGTTATGCCTTTGATGGGCAAAAGTGCAAGGCAGCATAGCTGGTAAGGTCTCCATGGGCCACTAGTATCATCTCTGTTGCACTGAAGCTGTCTTTCTCAAGAAATATCCAGCTTCTCTTTTTCTGCAAGGTTTTTAGGATGCTTAAGAAATTCTTTTAAATTTCTCTTGATGGCGTTTTTGAGTTTGCTTTTTTCTTTGAGCTTCTGTCATTTGTCCTCGCTCCGGCAAAACTAGCAGTTTGAAAGCATGCAAATGCAAGTAGATGAATAGGTACCACCTATAGGTATGTAGGAGGATAACAGCGTTCCATGTTTTGCCATACACTTTGATGTCATGCTGGCCACATACCATGGAAACATCTTTGGACAATGCTGGCTCTTTGGCTTAAGAAAGAAAGATGAGCACACACACCCCTAAAGTCAGTCCCGACTACTGGGGTAAAACCACAGGGATGCTGTTGTGTTTTCCATTCATTGGCAATTGATGAAGACACATGGTGAAAAACAACAAGCTCTTTATTACTTTCTCCTACAACCAAGCAAACAGCAAAAGGCACACAGGCCTGGACAGTGTGAACCATGCGCATAAGGCTGGCGCCACTCTGTCTGGTCTTGGGCAGGTTTTGGCTTGCCCGGGACCATTTGCAACAATTCTGAGTCTGCTTTCAGCTCTTGCAGGCTCAGGACACAACAGACGCCTACTGTGCCTTTGTTGTTTTGAGTTGGTGAAGGATGCTATTGTTGGTGGTACTTTCTTTTTTATTTCAAATTTGAGGAAAATAGCAATAGCACTTAGACTTATATAGCACTTCATAATACTTTACAGCACTCTCTAAGAGGTTTACAGAGTCAGCATTTTGCCCCCAACAATCTGGGTCCTATTTTACCAACCTCATAAGGCTGGAAAGCTGAGTCAACCTTGAGCTGGTCAGGATTGAACTCCTGGCAGTGGGCAGAGTCAGCCTGCAATGCTGCATTCTATCCACTGCGCCACCATCAAATAGAACCCCTTTTGCTAAAAGTTCTCTTCTGAGCTCTTTCCTTGACAATGAAGAGAGCTTGCAAAGCTTCCCAGAAGAGAAGATTGGAATGGAGGGAAGAATGGAAGGCAAGACCTTTTTAACTGTTCCTCCAGCTACTTTGAACATGCAATAAGACTAGCCCTCATCCGCGAGAATTTCACCAAAATTACGGTAGAACAAATAGAGGAGAAATGTTTTCCATGATCCTAGACTAGATCATCTTGGAAGAACATCATCCATCCTATTGTGAAGGCAGATATTTGTTTGATGGGATTTCTTTGGACCAAAAAATGGTCACCCCAAAGAATATACTTTAATTATGCTGGTTTAGGTTTTTGTGGCTGTCCTCAGTCAAGCACTAATTGTAATGGGATATCTCTTGGCTGTTCAGGGGTAACTGAGCAAGCAAGGGCTGTCTGGGCTGTTGTATTTGTAAATCGGTAATCTAGCTTCTGATGGATCTTTCCAGTTCAGCCAGTTTCTAATTGGTCCATGTCACTGGAATCAGAGTAAACTAGTTTCTGTTTGGTTCTTTATCCAGGAAAGCTTCTGGTTGTTCTGTTTTAAGGAAAATCCAAGTGAACTATTGCCTGATTGGCCCTTTTTTGAGATAGGCTCCTGCTTGGTTTTTTTTTTTGTTGTTGTTGCTGAGATGAAGCTGCTACACGTTTTTTTGTGCAGCTGGTTATTTAAGGGCTGTTTAATCTTGGTGTAGATTAAGATACCAGTCTGTCCTTGTTCAGTTGCCTGTGAGATGCTGAAAAGTACACTATGAAATAGATTGCTTGGCCTCTCAAGATGTCAGCCACAACTTCCAGAAAAAATGATAGAACACCCGAAAATTAGATCATGGTCGTTTAGCCCAGAAGGTTATTTCTGCTTGATGCTTTACTTAATTTGCTGGTGGAAATGATATTGAGAAGGGTGCATCACCCCTGCTATCAAAAGCCAGAAAATATTAAGGATATGGAAAGAGAAATAAAACCACAACATACTCACCATTTTCCCGGTTTGATGAGCGGGGTGTTGCACCCTTCCCAAAAATATCAGTTCCAGCAAATTAAGTATAGGGGCAGGGAGAAGATGAGTTGCAACATGGAACTTTTGGAAGAAGCTGACTCCACTTAGCCCTAGGGAATGGGGTAATGTTTGAAATTATTCCAGCAGAACAGAAGTTGTGACCCACATCTGTTCATTTGTCTCCTCTCCTCTTTAACCTGTGCAAAACACAGCCTTGGATTTTGCAGTATTATTGGCAAAATTATTGGTGGATTGCTAGCGCTCATCTCTTAAATCAGAAATGAAGACCACAATTGTGTTGTTATGCTTTATCGAATGGCGAGAATAGATCAGAATGGTTAACAGCTATAGTCATCGGTTATTAGAGAGAACGGGAACGAGAAGAAAGCAATGCGTGCTATCCGGCCATGCGCTATTTATAGCTGTTGTCCATTAGGGCTCTCATGAGTGCAATTCCTAGCCACGAGTGTGTAGCCCTATAAGTTTCATTCAAGCAATAAGAACAGAGACCGGCCCTAAATCATGATGGTAGGAAAAAACAAAGCAAAGCAAACAAAATATAGGAAAGCAGGAGGTGTGTGTGTCAGCAGTCAGTGGCGTTGGAACGGGAAGGGGAAATATGTATCTCAACTCCTTTTAATAATAATAATAAAGTGGAAGGGACCTAGGAGGTTATTGAGTCCAACCCCTGTTCATGCAGAAAACCCTACACCATTTTGGACAAATGGCTGTCCAGTCTCTTCTTAAAAACTTCCAGTGTTGGAGCATTCACTGCTTCTAGAGGCAGGTTGTTCCACTGGCTAATTGTTCTAACTGTCAGGAAGTTTCTCCTTAGTTCTAGGTTGCTTCTCTCCTTGGTTAGTTTCCATCCGTTGCTTCTTGTCCTGCCTTCAGGCGCTTTGGAGAATAGCTTGACTCCCTCTTCTTTGTGGCAGCCCCTGAGATATTGGAAGACTGCTATCATGTCCCCCCCCATCCTTCTCTTCATTAAACTAGACATACCCAATTCCAGCAACCATTCCTTATATGTTTTAGCTTTCAGTCCCCTAATCATCTTTGTTGCTCTTCTGTGCACTCTTTCTAGAGTCTCAATATCTTTTTTACATAGTGGTGACCAAAACTGGATGCAGTATTCCAAGTGTGGCCTTACCAAGGCAATGTAAAGTGGTATTAATACTTTGCGTGATCTTGATTCTATCCCTCTGTTAATGCAGCCCAGCACTGTGTTGGCCTAATTATTGTACTATTATTATTGATACTACCGCTAATAGTTAGAGCTTCAACCTTACTACACCACACAGCCACTACAGAAGGCGGGTTGTGTCCCTGCTTGGAGCATAGGTCAACCAGCTGGTGCTCTTGAGCCAACACCATTGGAAAAGATCCATGGGGCCACTGAAGTGCAAACAGCAATGGCTTCTTTTCCTAGAAGTGAGAAGTACAGGCAGTCCTCGAGTTACGAGCAGAGTTGAGGCCAAAATTTATGTTGCTAAGTGAAACATTTGTTAAGGGGGTTTACCCCATTTTACGACTTTTCTTGCCACCGTTGCTAAGTAAATCATTGCATTTGTTGAGTTAGCAACACGGTTGTTAAGTGAATCTGGCTGCCCCGTTGGCTTTGCTTGTCAGAAGATCACCAAAGGGGATCACAGGATCCCAGGAGACTGCAACCATCATAAATATGAGTCAGTTGCCACGTGACCCTGGGGATGCTGCAACGGTCGTAAGTGTAAAAAATGGTCATGTCACTTTTTTCAGTGCCGTTGTAACTTTGAACGCTCATTAAATGGGCCGTGGTAGGCCGAGGACTACCTGTACATTTCTTGCATTGTCCTTGCCTACATCCAAACCCTCTGAGGCAACTAAATGCAGCTTTTCATCTCCGAGAACTGATCTGGCTAAGCATGAAAAAGCAGGTTTTTGAAAGCTGGCTGGTGCTATCGGCGGCAGTTTCCCCACAGAACGAAAGCCATCCCTCGCGAAGTGTCACCCATCAAATCATATAATTGTCAGAGAGGCTGCCAGCCACGGATCAAGATTGTCAATGCACATCATTTTCAGAAAGAAGATATTTCATTCTCCTCCCTTTATTATTGGCAAACCTTGAAAGGGGTTTGGAATCAGAAGTGGCGGTTCATTATCTGAACAAGAGAGAGACGGGAATTATGTTTGCTGGGTAGTGTAATGATGTCTAAAATGAGACAGTAAATAAGAGCTGGGATGTACATCAACCTCCCAGTAAGAGATTGGACTGACTGAAGTCTCGCTGCTTTTTATTGGTTCTAACAGCCACTGCCACTGTTTCAAAGAAGTCTTTTAATCGGTTGGCTCTAGTGCAGGGGTAGGCAACCTTGGCTCTTTTATGACTCATGGACTTCAACTCCCAGAATTCCTGAGCCAGCCATGCTGAGGAGAAATGGAGAGGTTTTCATGCTGGCTCAGGAATTCTGGGAGTTGAAGTCCAAGAGTCATAAAAGAGCCAAGGTTGCCTACCCCTGGCCTAGATATTACTGCTATTAGCACTATACTAAATAAGCAGAGGGAAAAAAATATAAAAAGTATGACAGGGCAAACCACCTGTATATAAACTAAGAGCAAACCCCCTCCTCGGACTGATAATGTTACCTAGTAGAGGAATACAATGTCTGCAAGAAAACATCCAAGCTCAGAGAACCACGAGGACCCCATAGTTCAACCTTGCATTACAAATATTCTTGTCTGTGGATATAAAAAGTACTTTTTCTTTCTTTAGGTGAGCGTCCTTATATTGTACTCACGGCACGGGTTCATCCTGGTGAGAGCAATTCCAGCTGGGTTATGAAGGGGACTCTGGAGTTCCTCCTCAGCAACGATCCACTTGCTAATCTCCTGCGGCAATGCTTCATCTTTAAAATTATCCCCATGCTGAATCCAGATGGAGTCATCAATGGCCAGTGAGTTATTTTATTTAAATACTTGTTGCGTTTTTGTATTGCTGCAATTACTTAGGGAGCATAGTGGCTCGTGTGGTTGGAAGTTAGCAATCCCACGTTTGAGATCTGAGTGCTGCAGTGGGGTGAGGTGAGCTCCTGTCCTTCACTCCAGGTTCTGCCAGGGACATGAAAGGAGCTCCCCCAACCCCCCCAAGCAACCCCCCCAATTAGCACTTCATCTCTCAATGATCATCACCTGACATGACCTCTCCACTACAAGACCCTCCTTTCACACGACCCACACTTGACCCATCACAAGACCCTCACCTGACATGACCTCTCCGCCACAAGACCCTCCCTTCATGTGACCCACACCTGACCCATCACAAGACCCTCACCTGAGGAGACCTCCCAATCACAAGACCTGCTGACCACAGAAATGTAGACTATTGTAAGCAGAAGAACACTGACACTGACAATGAGCCGAGGTGGCGCAGCAGTTAGAGTGCAGTACTGCAGGCCACTTTAGCTGACTGTGTTCAGCAGGTCAGCAGTTCAAATCTCACCGGCTCAAGGTTGACTCAGCCTTCCATCCTTCCGAGGTACGTAAAATGAGGACCCAGATTGTTGGGGGCAATGTAAATATATATATATATACATTGCTTACTGGTGTACACCACTTAGAGAGTGCTTGCACTTAAATAAATAAATCCCCTAAACTTTGACTCTTAGCAAAATATGGTTTGGTGTGCTATTGGAGTAGGGATAAGGTGGCTCCTTTAAACTGTGAATTCCAATTTCAACACGCACCCACTGAGTGTTAGAGTGGGATCTGTCAAAAGGTAGCTAACAATACCTTGGGAATCTCATGGGGTTTCTACTCTTGAGATGATGGCTTTATCTATCTGGCTAAGAAACCAGGATGTTACCTATCCCTTTTCATATGGATGGTGACGTCTTTGCATGGAAATAAATAAAACGCACAATAGAGAGTAGAGAAGGGAAACCAATTCAGGAGATCACAAGTGAGGAGGGATGAGGATGTAATATAATATGTAGAGAGAGTGCTCAGGAAAAGAGCTGCCTCCTGTTAGTGGGAACGGTGTGCAAGAGAGATGTGCAGGCTGACTGGGCATCACAAATCACTTCTTCTAATAGGAAGCTTGAGAGGTGATTGCCAAGAGGATTGAGATATAATGAGGCTATTAAGATGCCTCCCCCCCCACTAGAGTCCACTGAGAATTGAGCATGCAAGGCTCTGATGCTGACACCAGTAGGAAATAGGAAATCTGTGAATGGGTATATAACAACCTGTTAGGGAACCCAAGAAAGGATTTTATTTCAAACCATTGCTTTCTCTTGGATCTGTTCTGGTATATGAACATTCAGTTTGCTCTTGGCACTACCCATGCTCACTTCCAAGGAAAGAAGGGTGGGTGACTTGGCATGCTTTTGCCAGCCCTCCTAAGAGTGGATATCTGCTTTTCTGTCTCTGGAAAACAACAATATCTGCCTATGGACATCATGTCAATTAAAAACCAGAATCTGTGAACACCAGCTGGCAGTCAACCACCACAATCCTAAATCTCTAATCTCTACCCTCTACTCTTCGGTGTCACTCTGACATCATGATTGGAGCAATATGAGAATCATCGGCCATGCTACCACCCACCCTGCACATGATTTTATCAAAGCCTGGCACTCCACAAGCAATTCCATCAAGACACATCAATCTACAATCAGCCTATGAACCCCTCAAAACTCAAATCAGCTGCACAGCCAACTAGTGAGGGCACCGACCTCAACCAGCCCATGCAAGCCCCCCACCAGCACTTCATCTTCCAATGACCCTTAGCTGATGTGACCTCTCCACCACAAGACCCACCACAAGTCCCTCACCTGACGTGACCTACACCTGACCCATCACAAGACCCTCACTTGATGTCACCTACATCTGACCCATCATAAGATCCTCACTTGATGTTACCCATACCTGACCCATCACAAGACCTCACCTGATGTGACCATCACCTCATGTAATCTACTGACCACACAAAGCCCTTATAAGCAGAAAAACACCCACACTGACATCCTCTAAATTCTGCTGATAGCCTGGTAATGTTAGCCTGGTAACGAAACGTTTGGAAACCAACCCACAAGCTCGGAGACAAACCTCCATGCTCAATATCAGCCTATCCCAGGACCTTGGAAAGGACTCGATAGGTGGATGAAAATGCCAAATCCAGTCTAAATGTCTGGCTGATTTTGTGACCAGCCATCATAATTTGATGCAATTCAACATCATTCAAAAAACCTGTTTTTATTATACAGCCTTATCTTATAATCGTGTATGGTTGGAATCCAGGATTAGGCACCACTTATCCATTTAAGAGTTCTCCAAGCTTGTATTTATAAAGACTGCTAACTGATTAATCCATTTTATGGTAAATTAATTGCCCGCCTTTTAGCCAATTAATCAGTTATTTGGCAAATTAACATAAATGTTACAGCAATTCAGTAAGAGTGGCAGTGTGTGTGTGTGTGTTTAATGTATTTAATGAAGATGGTGCTTTGTATTGACTGATTAACCTGGGAAAATATAATAATTAGTGGTTTGGTAAATTATCTTAAAATTCATTGCCTGAGTCAGGAAAAGCTGATTTTTTACATAATGACCTCAGTGTTAAAGATGATTATTGTAAGGGAAGAAATCTTGAATAATAGCTAGTTGCCATAAAAATGTTTTTTTTTTTTTAAAAAAAAATAGCTGTATTCCTTAGATAGGCTACTTTATTAAGGCTGCAGTTTTATTTGATAGAAAGCTTCTTTAAAGTCATTGGAACGTACATGTGAGTAAATACGCATAAAACAGCATAATCTTTCTGAATTTCTCAGGCTAAAAAAGCTTATGCAACACCCACATTCTTTTATTTAGGATCAATGTCTAAAACTTCTCTCTTGATGTACTGTCAAACATTTACTCTGGAACGATCCTACACAGAATTTAAAGCAAGATAATGATTGAGTTTTCCCTTCCTTTTATTAAAATGTAAAAAAAAAGAGATTACTCTCTAATTGGTTATCTGCAATTAAAGTACCTTTTTTTTGCATTGTGTAAAATGACATGCTGTGCATTGCAAAGTGCCTTTCCTGAGCAATCTTAAAAGGAAAAGTCCTACTGAATTCAGGGATATTTAGTTCTGGAGAATCACAGTTGGCAGGACCTAGCCAATTCTGGTTGATTGCCAAATGTTAAATTTAGAGGGGCTTAGTGAATAGAATAGAATAGAATAGAATAGAATAGAATAGAATAGAATAGAATAGAATAGAATAGAATCCTCTTTGAAGGGGCAGGTGAGTGATGGGAGCTTTGAAACGTTCATATTTCTCCAAAGCATCGATCATACCTTTCTCCTCCATCACACTTTTCATTCTGGGCCACTGCCTTAATGACAAGAAGGAAATGCATCTCTGGCTTCAGTAGAATTAAATAATGGTTAATACCCTGAGTTGGTTATTAAATCAGTCTTTTTCATGCTAAAGTACTTTACAAAGACCCCTGAAAATTGAAGTAAAATTGCCTGCAGGCTGGCTCGGCTACTGGTGTCTTTCATGGATACATCCATGCAGTTTCCTTGATGTGATACAGAAGTAATTTGTTGATGCCTTCTTCCAAGGTATTCTTCCAGGATATTCTATCCTGCAGTCTTGGATATACCAGATGGTTCCTCAATCCGTTACGAACCATATCTGACATTCCTTTGATTCCAGTGCTTTTTGCTTTCCTAACTTTTCAGTATCATTGCACATACAGTAATTAAAATAGTAAAAGCAGTGTGGAGAAGGATGGTGTGAGATTGGCTTGACTGGCCTTTACTGCTATTCCTTTGGGACGTTTCGAAAGAAAAGATTCTTTGAGGAATGAAGAACGTTTTCTGTAAGTTTTATTTTTTTATCTCATGGGATCTGTTCTATAAGTGGGATTTGCCACAAAAACATTACAGCATGGTGTAGTCCAGTTCCTCTTTTCAAATAGGTTGTAACCTAGACCTCCTTTATGATAAATGTCTTCTGGCTGTCAAGGAGAAAAGGAGACTAACTTATTCTCCAAAGCACCAGGGGTCAGGATGAAAAGTAATGGGTGGAAGCTTAGTCAGAAGAGATCCAGCTTAGAAGTAAGGAGAAATTTCCTGACCATGAGAACAATCAGTGGGATGGCTAGCCTCCTAGAGTTGTGATTGCTCCATCACAACATTTTCAAAACTAGACTGGACAACCATTTGACTGACATGGTATAGGGTCTCCTGCCTTGAGCAGGGAAATTGGACTAGAAGACCTCCAACGTCCTTTCCAATCTTAAAATTCTATGTTCCATTGTTCTCTTTTTTTTTACTTCCTGTTCTCCATAACCCCATCATAATTCCTTGTCCACTAAGCTCACTCACCAATGAGCATTTGAGATATTAAAAGTTGTTCTTCATATTCAAAATTCTTTGAATTTTCATCTATCTGCTGATAACGTCCCTACCTTTTCACTCCCATTTTTCTATAAATGGTGCCGAGAATATTGAATTGTCTCACCTTGGGTGGTTGATTGGGGTGGGGCACATCTGTAGATTTTACCCTTTCCCGTTGAATGCCATTACCCCTCTTGGCTACATTTCTTTCCCTTGGGGAAACCATGAAAAACTCAATAAGGGATGCTGACGTCACTGAGAGATGACACCCCAATATCTGATAGTCAAAGAGGCTTGTCTACGTAATGACATCCCCGGGACTGAGGGAAGGCGGAGACAATATAACTAAATAGTTTAATGCTTTTTTTTTTTTTTTGCAAGCTGTGCCAATAAATTTCCATAAATGTCCTTCCCTGTTGTATGCAAATATTTATGAAAAACCCTGAACCATTCCAGCTGACTTCTTTTCTCGGTGCACTAGTTTATTTCAGGTCACGCCTCTCTTCAACGAACGGCCTTGAAGATGCTAGTATAAATTAATGTCGTTTCTTTTCTTTTGGAAGC